CTGCTGTGTGAGAATGCCAGAAAGAGAAGAACTTGGGTTCATCAAGCTGCCTTTGCTGCAGTAAGGGAACTAAAATAGTTCCAATTTCACCAGATAAAGCCTTTGTGGGTTCTGACAGAATCTCTGGGACAGAGGGTTTTCCCTGTCTCATTGCAGATACTGTGCTTTTCTGGAGGATCTGCAAGGGGCTGCAGCTGGCTAAATAATTGATGTGGTCTATAGTAGCTCTCATGAGCTTTGAAAGAGAAGTGAAATGGCAAACTGAGGAATAGCAAACAAGAGTTAGGATACAGTCCCTTGGTGTTACTGCATTGTATAAAGACTGGGTCAGATTCTGCTTGTAGTTACAGAATCACAGAATGCATCAGGCTGGGAGGGACCACAGTGTGTCACTGGTCCCACCTCCCTGCTCAGGGTCATTCCAGAGCTCATGGCTCAGGATTGTGTCCAGACAGTTCTGAGATCTCTCCAGTGAGGAGACTCCACAGCCTCTCTGGGCAATGTGTTCAGTGCTTGGTCACTGCACAGGGAAGAAGTTCTTCCTCTTGTTCAGGTGGAACTAGCTGTGCATCAGTGTCTGCCTGTTGGCCCTTGTCCTGCTGCTGTGCCCCATGGAGCAGAGCCTGATCCATCCTTTGACTCCCCCCTTACACTCTGGCAGCTTCCCTAGGAGTGTTTGAATTTGTTGAGTACAAAATTTGGTTCCAGGGGTTTTAAAGCATAAAATTGTTAAAGTCATGAACACATCAAGACGGATTATAAGTAGAAATGGGAAATGTTTCTTTGCAATAACTAAGGCTGCTGCTGGTTTCTGAGGCACATGCAATAAAATTCCATGCAAACTGCCTGCAGAGAGCAGGTGGTACCATGTAATGGTGGCTAATTGTGGAGCTGGTTGATACGTAGGCAAGAGCCTGTGGATTCTGCAAGAAGTACAGTGTCAGAATCCAAATCCGTGAAGCCACCTCCACCCAAAACCCCTTTGTGAATTTCCAGGCTTACACAGATCCCAGAATCCTTGTGACTCCTCACAGTATTTTAATCTGTCTTTGACTCTATCCCAAGTGCAGTTTTCCCTCTGGAGTGTAAGCAGCTCTCCAAAATCCCACTAAGAAGTTATTGCTAATGGTTTTAAGAGCCCTCGAAGATTGCAGCACCATAAAGTTTATGCAGGGCATAAAGTGCTGCAAGGAAAGAGGATGCAGATGCCATTAAGAATAGTGATTTTTGTCCTAAAATACAGCTCATCATTTCAAAGGGCTGCTCATGGCATGGGATGAAGAGGATTCTTTAGAGCTGAGGAGGTGCTGAATGCAAATGTAGCAACTGGTTATCAAGTAATTGTATCTTGATTCCTTTTATTGTATGCAAAAGATACGGTCAAAGCCACAAACATATCATATTTTAGAAGACAGAATGCCACAAATTTGAGGGGGAAAAAGAAAGTAAGTCAGGTAAGTCTGGAGAACTCATTTAATAGAAACCCTGTAAGTGATCATTTGAAATACTTTCTTAATCTCTTACTTGAGGACTTGGAAGGCAGAAAAAGACTGCTGGAGCTAGGCCCACATGGATTAGAGCAAAGGCACGGAATGGTGTTCTGCAGTGTCTGCAGACATCTTTGGATACTGTCACTTTTTGGAAAGGTATATGCTCTGACATGGAGAGTATGAGAAGAGACATGCAGATCTGCCTGGATACAGGGAAGAGCTTTGTGTATTTTAGAATGCTGCACACTTTGCCAAATGACATGCAGCTCTTGGTCTGTAGATGCAAGGTTAGGATGTGTGGATTCTATCTTGTCTGAAAAGCTGCTCTGTGTTTTTTGCCCTATCACATTGGAAGCTGTATAGGTTTGTCCATAGAGAAGTTTTACTAACTGGAATTTCGAAGTAATTGTGTGTTTTGTATGTATACTTTGAAATTATTGTGCCTGCTTGGAAAGATGGGGAGATTTACTGACAGAGGGGTGCTCGGATGAAGTGTACTCGTGCCATGGAAGGCCTTGAAGGTGCCACCTACACTGTGCATGAGCTTATCCTGTTTTAAGAGAACACGTCTGTTGGCATTGGGCATTGACTGGGTTGGGTTAGGCCCATTCCTTTTCCGTATAATTTATTATTTTTAGCTTAGGCATAGTCTGTATGGAATTAAAAGGGGATTTTTGAAGTAGAATCAAATTCTCCAGTATCTTTTCTAGGTTACACTCATGGATGCCAACTACGTTATGGACGAGACTCTTGGCACATCCACATTTCCCATATCTTCTCTGAAACTGGGAGAGAAGAAGGAGGTCCAGTTAACTTTCAATGATGTAAGTTGCAACATTCTTAGCTTTGCCTTTGTTGGTGCAGCTCTGGACATGGTGGGAGGTTCTTGGAAGAACACCTGAGCCAAGAGACTTGAACTGTTGCATGGGCCAGGGTATACCATATTTTTGTGGAAGTGTAAGAAAAACACTTGGTGCTCGTCAAAAAGTACAAGTTCTTGGATGGAAGTAAGTCCAAGACTAAGTCGGATCCCATCAGTACCTCAGTCCTGTGAGTGTACGTGATTTCTTAGTATAGAGCTGTTTGATACACTGGAGACAGGATTAGGATATATCCTGGGGCCAGGGTGGCAGCCCTGCAGCCAGGAAATAGCTGAGCATCTGGGGGCACAGGAGGAGTATCTCAGGTGAGGATTGTTCTCTGCATACCCTGCTCTGAAGCTGAAAGGTCTGAAGCCCTGCTCAGAATTTTTCTAAGCCTGTTGTCCATAGTTAAACACAGAGCCTAAAGACACTTTGTTTGTCTTCCTACAGCCCTGCTGAGAGTTGAGCAAAGCGATGCCCCTCAATACCGTGATGTCCCTGCTGAGAGAATCCTCTTTAAAACTTTCCCTTGCTAAACCAGTTTCTGCCTCACTTGATGCAGTTTTGTTTCGTGGCCTTTGTTGGTGTGAGAGGTTGCACAGTTTGCTGGTCAGTGCTTTGCCTCTCCTGCTGGTTCCTGTGGCTTCCAGCAAGCTGACAGGAATTCTTTTATTATTACACCTCTCACTTTCTGTACGTGGCTTGTTGTAACACAAGCCCAGTTGACATGCAGCAGTGCAGGAACTGGATTGTTCTCTTTAAACACGTGTGCTAGCCAGATGGAGTCACTTTAACAGGGATTGTCTGCCTGCTTGGTAGCTCCTGGAAATTGTTAAATCTGGGTGGAATCGAGCTTGTTCTGCACGTATTAACTTAATGGAATGGCTTGAATTGGAAGGAACCTTAAAGCTCCTCCAGTCCCACCCCCTCCATGGGCAGGGACAGCTCCCAGTAGCCCAGGTTGCTCCAAGCCCCATCCAGCCTGGCCTGGAACACTGCCAGGGATGGAGCAGCCATAAATATACCAATAGCAATTTATATGAGTAACATCACAAGCCGTTCCCAACATAATTCAGTCCTTGTAGTTCTGTGATCACGCCCGGTTACACCTCGATACGCTGTGTGCATATACTGTGTGTATGAGTGCTTCCTGCATTTCTGCCTTGGGCTGAGGCTTATTGTATGATCAGAGGTCTTCATTTGGGACTGCTCTGCTGCTTCCCATGTGATACAGCTCTAAAAGCATGCTCACAGCAGATAGCTGGCTCCAGGCCTATTTGCTGGAAACCAGAGAGTTTCACAGTGTTTAGTTTGGCATAGCCTTAGGGCAGTTGGAATTTTGATACCCTCCTTTGCTTTTCTTTTTAAAATTGCTGCATTTTTGAGGTTTCTGCATTTCACTAAGTGCTTTAGCAACTCTTGGACTTCCAGTGTGTGGGCTGAGTGCAGGTGTCTGGATCTGTCAGGCATGAGGTGAGGTAGTGAGAAAGAACTGAATAACTTTTGAAAACACAGTTTACAAAGCTCATTCCGTTGACACAAGACCTTGCCACATGTCACATTGGCTTTAACTTCTCAACAGCATTCATCAAAGTTCTGTAGGGAATCATAGGGGCAAAAATCAGTGAAAAAAGCCAAGCACACTCTGAAATTCATAAGCAAATATCAAGGGACCATGAGGTCAGGTCGAGCCCAGTGTAGGCAGTGTATACACGACATGTATCCCTGAGTTTTCTGTGGCAGTCTGTATAAGGCATAGAATGTGGCATGCTGTTTCCCTGTTGGAATGCTTCATTCCAAGGGTTTAGTTCATACTTTGTGCATGCATTTTTCAAAGCACTGGATCACTGTGTGGTTTCTGAAGTGCTTTCTAAATTAGTAATATCAGGTGCAGGTGTACTGTAATTACTACCCTGCCTTTGAAGCATTTCCTGAATGACTCTTCACTGTTTCTTCATGTCCTCTCTTTGATATTTCTTTGCCTCTTGTTTCTCCCACTGTCTCGTTTGCAATTCCCATCTCAGGAGTGGAGTGCCAGGTTGTACCTGGCCCACCACCACCGAATGTGGGAGGCCAGAGGCACCTTTGTACTTCCATGTCCTTCACTACTCCGGAGGAGTGTGGAGCAGACGTTCAGTCTGGGGTGTTCTAGCTCCATTCCTAATGACCACATGCCACAAACTAGGAGGCTAATCTGTTTGCTGCGAGGGGCAGAGTGAAACAGGACACTCTGGGTCTGTTACACTCCTACAAGGCTGAGGTGGTCACCGCATAGGAGAGAGCTCAGGGAGGCAGAAATGCCTCTCCCCTCTGTCTTAGCTCTATCAGCCTCCTACTCCTGGATTGTGCCTAACTTTCAGTTGGTGTTTTAGTCATGATTTTTTAACTTCTTGCCTGCAGGCAAGCCCTTTAAGTGCTCTGTGAAAGGTAGGGGAGACCAACCCATAGGTTGTGGCTATATAGTTCTATGTGGTTTTCAAGTGAAATTGTGACTTAGTGACATGTATTGCTTCTTCCAGAAATGTGTAAGCAGTCACTCTTCCTGACTGATAACTGTAGCATATTTGACTGTGGAAAGACACTTGCTGGCTCGTGTGGAGCACAGAGCAGTCACTCCCTCACCAGTCTGCATTTCAGACAAGCTGAGCATGAAGTTTTCCCAGTGAACGGGGAAGCAAGTGGCAGATAGATGTGGCTGACAGGGGAAACAAAGGATCACAAGTGGGTGAAGAGAATTATATCCCTTCGGGCCAAAGATGAGTAACACTGTCAGAGAGGGATTATCAGTGGAAGAAAGCCAAGACAGTGGGATCTGGTGAATGAAAGTCAGCACCTAGCAACATTTTCCACTGTATTCAGTGCTAGTGGTGTATTTTGGAATCACACTGTATGCTTTTTTAAAAAGTTCCATAGAAAAGAAACTCTTCCGTGTATGCCAGAAATAGCCTCCTTTTAAAAAAGTGATTTAAAGAAGGGTTCTGACAGTGGTAGTTTGTGTTCCAGGTGTGACTGTGGATTTCTCCCATAAGTGGTGTAACCATATTTAAATACTCCCTGTTTAGGTCACAGAAATGACTTTGGAATTGTCTCTTGAAGTTTGGTGAGTATCTCACATTTTTAAAAAAGGGCAGAAAATGTACCAGCAGCAAAGTTATTTTTTTATTTTAAACTGTTGGCTAGAATTTTCATAGAGTCACAGAATATGCAGAGTTGGAAGGGACTCACAGGGATCAATCACAGCCCAACTCCTGCCCTGCACAGGGCAGCCCAAGAATCACACCATGTGCCTGGTTTGATTTCCTTAAAAACATGGTAGGTAGAGTGCAAAAATTCTGTTTTAACATAGAAATGCCCAGTACTGTAAATGTGAATAGATTTTAAACCAGGACTATTTTCACATTGCAATTCTGTCTAAACTGACTAAACACTATTACTTGGATTAATAGGTGTGACCTTTCCCAATGTTTGCAGGAACAAGACTATCCTGTGTAAGTCTCAACAGCATCAACCACAGCATCACTGTGGTTGATGCTAAATGGTTTACTTCTCAAGGGCTTTTTTTTGAATGAACTCACAGACCTCACTCAGGTTCAGCTTCATCCTCACTGTTTTACCTTCCCGGGGAACTTGGCCTCTCAGATTAACTTTGAGCATATATGGCTGCTGGGGACAGAGCTGCCCTCAAGGGCATTGAAATAGGAGCAGTGCTGAGGGCAGAGGTGAAGGTCTGGGCCACAATTTCACCATGGAAAAGCTAAGCAGATCCCTACCTTTATTTTTGCCTGTTTCTCTCCTCTCCAGCTGTCTGTCTCCCTCTTTCTTCACCTGTACAGATGAAAGACCTAAAATCCCCTTTGAGGCATAATCAGAAAGATGTCTTTTAAGTAAAAAAATGGATTCCTGACAGCAAGGCACTTGGAGTCTCTTTTTTGTCTGCAACTCTAAATAGCAGTGCTGAGCACTGTAAGATTGGAACTGTCTTCTAAGGACTCTGGAGACTGACAGACGTCCCTCAGGGATAATTCTGCTCATCGCTTGGTGCTCGGAAAGATGCATATGTGGATGGCCCTTGAGACCACCCCTAAACCTCCCAGGGCTTGTGCATTATGAGTATTCCATATACCTGACACTTAATAAGCAGAAGATGCTTGCCTCTGTCCTGCTCTTAGGCAGTAGGCTTTGAAATATGTTAAACCAAAGGGTCTGATCGAGTTCTGTTGCTATCCTCATGCAGACTGTGGATTCACAGTATATATCTTCAGGGCATGTTGCTTCTAGGCAGTCTTTCACCCCTTCCTTTTCTTAATCCCATTATTTTGTTACATAATAATGTTTTTGAAAGTCTGAGGAATCATTACCTGATCCTCAGTAGGTGCATTTATTTCACCACTGTGTGTTTTTCATGAAGGACTGTTGAAAATGCTGCCTCAGACCTGGCGCATCACAGTAGCCACAATAAGCATTTTCAGCTTGTCTTAGTAAAGAGCAAAGCTCCTAGTAAAGCTAACAGTCAGCTGACCTTGGTAAACAGAGAGAGGCTGAGGGGACACCCAGCAGGGTCAGCAGCTTCCTCGCGAGGGGCAGCTCCGAGCTCTGCTCTCTGGGACCAGGGGCAGGGCCCAGGGAACGGCCTGAAGTTGTCAGGGAGGGTTAGGCTGGGGATTAGGGAAAGGTTCTTCCCCCAGAGGTGTTTGGGCACTGAACAGGGTTAGGTTGGATATCAGGACAAGGTTCTTCCCCCAGAGGTGTTTGGGCACTGAACAGGGTTAGGTTGGATATCAGGACAAGGTTCTTCCCCCAGAGGTGTTTGGGCACTGAACAGGGTTAGGTTGGATATCAGGACAAGGTTCTTCCCCCAGAGGTGTTTGGGCACTGAACAGGGTTAGGTTGGATATCAGGACAAGGTTCTTCCCCCAGAGGTGTTTGGGCACTGAACAGGGTTAGGTTGGATATCAGGACAAGGTTCTTCCCCCAGAGGTGTTTGGGCACTGAACAGCTCCCAGGGCAGTGTCACAGAGCTCAGGAGTGTTTGGCCAATGCTCTCAGGGTGCATTGTTGGGGTGTCCTGGGCAGGGGTTGGACTGATGATCCCTGTGGGTCCCTTCAGCTCAGGGTATTCCCTGATTCTGGGTGCAGGAAGCTGGGTGAGGTGTGTGTGGCCCAGTCTGTGCCCCCCTCGCTGCGCCGTGCCCGGGCAGAGCAGCCCCAGCAGTGACACACCTGCTCCAGATGGGGTGACAGCTCTGCCCACCTCCATACCCGACACGGGAAGTGGGACCTTTTGTTGAAGTACAGCACTGAGGTCCCTGTTGAGCCCTGTGTACGTTTTTAATCCCACAGTGTGGGGGGAAAGCTGGAGAAAAGGGCTTGTTTTTTCCAGCCAGGATGATTTGTGCTGCACTTTCAGAACTGTATGTGAGTGGTGAACTCACTGTATTTTAATTGTTTTTAATGAGTTTTATACAAAATGCATATGTTAAAGACACAGTGCACCATTGTACTCTGCATCCACTGCTCCATGGAATCAGCTGATGCAGCCACATGAATGTAATTTCATTTAACCTTATGTAAGCTAATGAGCAATTTGCACTTACTTGCACTCATTTCCCTGGGTGATGCTTTTAATTCTGTTTGCAGTTATGCTTTTTGTTAAAGCCTGTCTGTGTTGTAAACCAGCTCCTCAA